GAAACATATGAAGAATGGTTGCAGGAACTGGGTATGTCTAGTTTAATGAGAAGAAGGACATGGGGAGACATGATAGCAGTGTTCCAATATCTCAGGGGTTGCCACAAAGAAGAGGGAGTCAAGCTATTCTCCAAGGCACCTGAGGGTAGAACAAGAAGCAATGGGTGGAAACTAATCAAGGAGAGAAGCAACTTAGAACTGAGGAGAAATTTCCTGATAGTTAGAACTTGAATTGAATTGAATTGAATTTATTGCATTTATATGCCGCCCTATTCCCCGAAGGGGACTCAGAACAATTAATCAGTGGAACAGAAGTTGCCTCCAGAAGTTGTAAATGCTCCAACACTGGAAGTTTTAAAGATGTTGGATATCCATTTGTCTGAAGTGGTGTAGGGTTTCCTGCCTAGGCAGGAAACCCTATACAGTTTCAGACAAATGGCTGTCCAACATCTTCTTAAAGACTTCCAGTGTTGGAGCATTCACAACTTCTGGAGGCAACTTCTGTTCCACTGATTAATTGTTCTGAGTCCCCTTCGGGGAATAGGGCGGCATATAAATGCAATCAATTCAATTCAATTCAATTCAAGTTCTAACTATCAGGAAATTTCTCCTCAGTTCTAAGTTGCTTCTCTCCTTGATTAGTTTCCACCCATTGCTTCTTGTTCTACCCTCAGGTGCCTTGGAGAATAGCTTGACTCCCTCTTCTTTGTGGCAACCCCTGAGATAATTGGAACACTGCTATCATGTCTCCCCATTTCCTTCTTTTCATTAAACTAGACATACCCAGTTCCTGCAACCGTTCTTCATATGTTTTAGCCTCCAGTCCCCTAATCGTCTTTGTTGCTTTTCTCTGCACTCTTTCTATAGTCTCCACATCTTTTCTACATTGTGGCGACCAAAACTGAATACAGCATTCCAAGAGGGGGCTTACCAAGGCATTATAAAGTGGTATTAACACTTTACGTGATCTTGATTCTATCCCTCTGTTTATGTAGCCCTTATGTTTGTGTGTGTGTGTATACATATATACATACGCACATACACACATACACACACACACCATCTGGAAAGGACTAGAATTAAAAATAAAAACAATGTTGGGATAAAAAGTGCTACTTTTTAGTTGTGCTACTAGATGTTTTGTTGTGATTTAGTGGTTCCCATGGCATTTTAAGACTGGCACAGTTTCTCCTGTGATGGGTGGCCACTGTAATACTAATGCCTTCCAGAAAATATCCCTGATGAATGATCTCTTTGACAGTCTGTATCTTGGCTACCAGTAATTTGCAGCTCTTTTTTATTCTGGACTAGTTATAGCCCAAATGGCCATATTGTATAGTGGTTCATAGTTGTACAATACTGCTATTTACTGGCCAAGTGTGATTGGACACACAAGGAATTTGTCTTTGGTGCATATGCTCTCTGTGTACATAAAAGAAAAAATACATTCATCATGAATCATATGGTACAACACAAGAAAATCATAGGGTACAAATAAGCAATCAGATCATACTAGGAAACCATCAATATAAATGGTAAGGATACAAGCAACAAAGTTACAGTCATACAGTCATAAGTGGAGGAGATGGGTGATGGGAACAAGAAGATTAATAGTAATAGTAATGCAGACTTAATAAATACAGTCCAGAGATGGAATTTATGAACCAAGCTATGCCGTGGCTTGCTTAATGGTAGCTTATGGAAAGGGTCAAAACCAAACACAGCGGGCCATTGAGGAATGGCTTGTTTCTTGGTATGAATCTGCATTCTTTGCTTGCAATTTGTATTATACCCATTGAACTTTTTTGGTTATTTTTTTGTAATGCAGATTGGAATTTGCATTTAATTTATTCTGTGTTTGTGTACCGCAGAGGTCATTGGGAACCCTCATGATTTACTGGTGAAAGTGTTGGACATAGAATGGGAGATGCACGTTCAAATCCATCCTTAGGCATGGAAGCTCAGTGAGTGACCTCAGACCAGTCATATATTCTCAACCTACCTCACAATTTGGGAGAATGGGATTAGATGAAGTACACCTCCTGAGTGAAAGGCAAAATACAAATTTAACAAATATAATGCAATTCTCCATTGGCTTTTAGATGTATCTGCCATCCTTCCAATAAAGTGTCATGGGCCATAGCAGTTCAACATTTGAAGTATATCCCTTTAAAAACTCTACTGTTATTTATTTCCTAATCTCTTTGCTGTTGATATTTTGGTGTCATTGAGTATGTTTCTGTGCTACTCAATTCCTAAAAGATCTGCCTACAGCTTGCCTACTGTAAAAGTATAACAGCACAATGATCATCACAGTGTAATGAAAAAAAAAATCAATTGACTATATCCCACCCAGTGAAGGTAAACTGTTCTAATATGTATACACACAAATACTTGTTCTTATATACCTTATATCCCCGGGATGGCGAACCTCTGGCACACGTGCCACAGGTGGAACACGGAGCCATTTGTAAGGGCACGCAAGGCATTGCCCTGTCAGCTGGCCAGCAGGCATGTGTGCGCTGGCCATCTGACTTTAGCCTTTTTTTAAAGGCCATTTTTCGCCCTCCCCAGGCTCCTAGAAAGCCTCTGAAGCCTGGGAAGGGCAAAAACAGCATGCAAAAAATAGGGGTTTGCGCCTGCCATGCGTGCATGCACGCTGGGGTTTGCGCATTGCATATTGGGTGCAGCACGCCCACACATGACCCCCCTGCGCTCCCCCCGCTTTTGGCATGCAAGCCAAAAAAGGTTCGCCATCTCTGGTATATCCCATACTTGTGGATGTATAATTCATATAACTGAGCCGAGGTGGCGCAGTGGTTAGAGTGCAGTACTGCAGGCCACTTCAGCTGACTGCTATCTGTAGTTCGGCAGTTCAAATCTCACCAGTTCAAGGTTGACTCAGCCTTCCATCCTTCTGAGGTGGGTGAAATAAGGACCCAGACTGTGGGGGCAATATGCTGACTCTGTAAACTGCTTAGAGAGGGCTGAAAGCCCCATGAAGCGGTATATAAGTCTAACTGCTATTGCTATATACATTCCACAGCGAGAGAGACTTTATGATGGATTCATACGTTGAACAAAATAAATTAAAT